ATTTTGTTTTGATCGTCAGCTAACGTTAGTTAGCTATGTACCTAAGAAAGCACATGCTGTGATTTTGTTATCATCTCTTCATCATGATCAAACAATTGTCGATGAGAAAAAGAAAAAACCAGAAATTATTTTATATTACAACAATACAAAAGGTGTTGTCGATCGAATGGATCAGATGGTTCAGACATATTCATGTAAACGAAAAACAAAACGATGGCCAATGACTTTCTTCTTCAACGTAATTGATGTTGGTGCTCTTGCTGCTTGCATCGTTTGGTTAACTAAAAATCCTCAATGGAATGAGAAGCAATGCTATCGTCGACGTATATTTATAATGGAATTAGGTTATGATCTCATTCAATCTCATTTGGAACGACGACAACATCAGCCACAAGCACTTCAAAAAGGCGTTCGAATAGCTATGCAAGCAATTGGACTAACTGTTGCTACTTCACAACCGATTACAGTTTCAACAGACACTGCAAAGCAGCATTGTCATCTTTGTCCGCGAGAGCGCGATCGGAAAGTTGTTACTCATTGTTCAAGTTGTAATATTCCCTGTTGTCCTGATCATCATAAAGTTATTTGCACTGTGTGTAGCGAAACATTTTTAGGATAAAAAGGATTTATAAGAAAAGGTTTTAGAAATAAAATATAAAATACCTAAATATAGTTTCTTTTTTATAAGATAATAATCGTATAACACGCAAAACTTATGCCACATAGTGCTATCATAGTATACTATTTACAGCGTCTGTTGTATCTATCTTATCGGCTTGGGGTCCGTGCGGACCCCAGGTGGGCAATAAGTGGTAGTTTTACAGGTGGGCGGATGAGGGTTAATCATCGTGGTCAACTTCAAATTCATCTGATTAACTTTTTGCGATGTTTATATAAGTATGAGTCATTGTTATTAATTATGGCTCACTTGTAGATAGTTTATTTTGTCAATCAATGTGCATCAATTTTTAATTACAATAGCTAACATCTATCTTGAATCTTTTAATTAACTCTTGGCAAGTGAGAAATGCGTGTCTGAATAAAAAAATAGATTGGAACAAATATGAATGAAAGTTGAACTAGAAAAATAGTCATAATAACTGCATCTTTATTGCTATAAAACGATATTCATTATAAATGGCATGGGGTTAATAAAAATTCATGAGAAATGTATTCGATTTATTATAATGCGACCTAAGGATGTGGGTCGAAGCGGATGTGAGCATCTTGTTTTGTCCTTCACATTCACATCTACCCTCGTTTCTTGGTGTAAGAAATATTCTCTCTATTTTTTCGATCTTTCAGTCTTTTTATTTAAAAATTATGTTAGCTGTCGATCATGTTGTATCTTATCCTTTTCTCTTGTGCGTATGTCAATGAAGCATTAAACAAGTTTGTAAATGTATGATGAAGAATCAGAGAAATATAAAAGATGGCACAATAGTTGTATCATAACTTCTAGTTATTACTTATGTTTACAAAAAGCTCTTGCTTAAGTAAAAACTTTTCCTTTTTTAATAATTATATTGATGAATATATATTAGCGCTAATTCTACAATGGTAATTGTATCTTTTGTTTTTATTTTGTCGATATAAATAATGTCATTCTTATCTAAAATCGATGCTCAAATGAATTATATCTTGTTACTTATTAAACAAATGCCGAAATCTTCTAAGAAAAAAATGAATAAACCATTTCGAAAAGAATCTCTTTTGATTTTCACAGAAAATAATAAGAATAAGAATGCAATTATATCATTATCAACATCAAAAAATACTAATCAAGAAAAACATTTGTCAAATAATTTTCGTTTAGTATTGGAAGATAATCAATGTGATTCAATAAGATTTGAAAATTTTCCTTTTAGTCACATATGCAATCGTGATGTAGATAATATTTATTTATTTATTTTTAATATTGAATAGAAAAATTTTCTATTTAGATACGTGATTTACCATTGTCAAAACGAAATGATACTGAGTTAGATCGTCTTCGTTCATGTTATATATTAACAATGACTGATTTAATCGGTCGTTATTTGATTCATAAAACACCTGATGAATTTCGACAGTTTTTAATTGAAAAAGTACAATGTAGTCAATCATTTACTGATGAAATTATTCAGTTGTTATATATATGGACACTACATAATTTACAAATTGGAAGAGGAACACGAACAACAACACTTAGACAATACTTGTAAATTATTATTTTCGAGTCTTACGAGGGAACCACCCGAGGTGTCAAAAAGCTTTTCAGTCGGGGATATGATGGTTAGATATGGCATAGCTAGGAGTGATATACCCTAAGTTAGTTCGTGCCCAAGTTGCTTCTAGCAGGAGTTATGAAATGTGAAATTTAGGTATAAAAATGAATCAGGGAAGGTTTTCTCCACTATTGTAA